GACATGCGTACTGTTTCTCGTGTCCGGGATGTTCAAACATTATGTTGTGCGTGTTCAACATTATGTCGTGCGTGTTTGAGGGCCTTTCTTCTCTTGCACTGGATGTTGAACTCAGAGAGTTCCAACTACCATTTGAGCATTCTACCAGCCATGTCAGGATGATCAAGTAGTTGCTTTATGGGCTTGTCAGTTCGTACCACGATTGTGTGAGCCAGAATGTAATATCGTAACCTTCTGGCCGCATTGATGAAAGCCAAAGCCATTTTTTCGATCTGCTGATATATAAGCTCCGAGTCTTGCAAGACTTTACTAGTGAAGTATATAGGTTTTTTCCCTTCGGGGGTTTCGCGAATGGGAGCCGCCCTAACAGCCTTGATTGCGATAGTGGGCTAGAGGTACAAAGTCTCCCCGTTATCTGGTCGCGAGAGGACCGGTGGCTGCGAAAGAGCTCGTTTTAGGTGGATGAGGGCTTGTTCGCACTCCTCTGTCCACTCGAAGGGTGCTTTTTTGCGCATAAATTTGAAAAATGGGAGTGCGTGCGAAGTAGATTTTGCCACGAAGCGAGACAATGAGGTGAACATCCCATTTAGGGATTGGGTCGACTTCTTCGAGTTCAGTGTCAGGAAGTCGGAGAAGGCTCTGCACTTATCGGGGTTTACTTCGATTCCTCGTTCTGTTAGATAGAAACCGAGGAACTTGCCCGCCCATACGCCAAAAATGCATTTCTCCGGATTGAACCTCATCTTGCATCTCCTCGCCTGGTCGAAGACTCTCTTCATGTGGGAGGTGTGATCGAATTCTTCCTAATACTTCCCGATCATGTCGTCCATGTAGACTTCGAGCATATCCTCAATCTCACCTTGGAAAACTTTGTTCATCAGTCGTTGATAAGTAGCACCGACGTTCTTCAGGCCGAAAAGCATTACGTTGTAGTAATCGTTGCCCGACTCGGTCATGAAAGAGGTGCATCGTTTGTCACTCCTTGCCATGGGGATTTGATTGTAACCTAAATATGCATCCATAAATGATAAAAGTTTATAACCAGCAGAGTTGTCTACCAGCCTATCCATGTTAGTTAAATGATATGCATCTTTGGGGCAAACCCTACACATTCTCTATTTTCCATTAGATTTTTTTAACTAATACAACGTTAGATAGTCAGGTTGTGTACTGGGCTACAGAAATAAAATCAGCCTCTAGGAGGTCTTTTACAGCTTCTTCAGCAGCCTCCGTTTTCTCAGAAGACTGTCTATGCCTATGTCTGATGCCAAAGTAAGTAATGGAGCAGAGTGAGAAATACAAAAGAGAGATAGAGAATTGAATACCTGACCCTCTAGTGAAAGATACTATTTATAGAGAGACCCCAGCGCAGGGCCAACGGTCACTTGTGTTGGGCTGGATCCCGACCCAAGTGACTACTAGGGCTTACGTGGCGTGTGAAGGTCAGTACGTAGTCTTCGCCCTAGTTCAACCGTCCCGTGATCTCCAGAAGGTGGGCTGACCAGCTCTTTCGGAGGTGGGTAGTTGGCTGATGACGTGTCTACGCGGAGGGAGCACATGGAGAACGTGTGGGAGACATGTTGTTCTGTCCGACAGGGGGAAGCGTCTGCCTAGTGTGTCTAGAGATGTGTCCGACACTAGGTGATTTGGGCCTTGTTGGGCCTTTCCCAAATGGCATTGGGTTGGGCAGGCCTGGGCCTAACCCAGAACAATATATAAGTAGTAAAGTAAAATAGAAGAAATTGGAACCTAAAATAGTAAATAATACTTGAATAACATAAAATGCTCCAATCGAAGACTTTAATTCCGATATAGATAAGAAAGCAATAACAACAAAATTAACGACGCCAATAATTCACCAACAACAATAACAAAAGACAACAACAATAATTTGCAAAAAATAATACTCCAAACACCTACAACTATGATTGCAAGAACACCTTAATGCAAGATGTAATTACTTTTACAAGGGAATTTCTGTCTATGACAACAAAGCTGAGATGTTTTAAAATGATTTCTAAGGGTCTACTTATAGGTTGAAATTCATACCGGGAGTTACACAAAACGTGCTAAAGTAGTGGAGGTTGAAAAACTGGTTTGTGAAGCTTGAGGTGAAAATCTGGGCAACAACGTCTTGACGGGCGTGTGTTGGGGCTGATGGTGTGCCCATCATTATTCATCCACGTAGGTTCATGATTGTGGATCCTAACGGGTGTCCGTTGGGCTGACAGTTCGCATGACAGGGTGCTCTGACGCGTCTTCCTTGTTTTGTTGACCAGATGTTAACAATTTGACCTTTCTTGGGGTATGATGACCTTCATGACAACATTGCACCCGTCATGACATCATAAAACTTGTATTTTTTTTCCTTTTTCGCCAAATCAAGCTGATAAAGTAAAACACTCTGCGTGTTATCAAATTCCACCACACTTAAATTGTTGCTTGTCCGGAAGCAACTTTGTTTGCGCATAAAAACATGTAAACTGCAACAACATAACAATAAAAAGACTTAAGATAGCATAACATCACAAATAATCATACGTGGTCACAAATTCAGATCGACAAAGTTAATTTGATATGTACTAGTGTTAAGATCAAGGATATTGTAGCAACATAAACCCCATTTTGCGGACGAAAATCTCCCTCATATGAAAACCAATTAAAATATACGTGTTTTGATACATTTTAGTTTTAATATAACAATATAACTCGTTTTTTATATATAATATTGTCAATGATGTAATCTCGATACAATTGACAACATATGTAATGTCTATTTTATAGAATTTAAAGGTATATTTTGGACAATGTCCCAATTTTTATGTTTTTTTTACTAGTTCTATGTCAATACTGGTTTTGTAATGAGTGGGTCCAGATATGCATATTCAGACACACCTAATTTTAATTTAGATAAATTACAAACAGGGGCATGTTCTGATATACATTTTCTGACACACCTTTATTTAAAAAAAATAGTGTGTTCGGATATCTATATCTAGCCTGTCATAACAAAAAGATATGATTTCTAAGGTCTAAATTAATCTCCAACTAATATAAATAGGAATCTCTCAATCCATTTTCTTTATAAAAATCAGAATGAATACATATCCACAAAGCATTTGTTTATTTCAATAGCGCAAATTTGCCACTTCAATTTAGAATCTCCGAAGGCATATTTCTCGTCGATTTGAAAACTCAAGTGAATACTCTCCTACGATATTTAGTAAATCAGAAAGTTGTCAAGCTTAAGTATCATTCACCATCGATTAAACATGAAGGTAAGATACATTTCACCATGCTTGAACTGAAGACATGTGATGATTTAAAGGTTATGTGGAGTATATTTTAACGTTACTCAACAAATGATCCGATTGAAGTGGATGCAACAATTGTAAGATCAGCCGACGATATTATAAAGATGTTGCAATGTCCTAAACCACCTATTTATAATTAAATATAATGTTAAATTTATTTTAACATTAACGATTATCTATATAATATTTATTTTGATATTAATGTATTTTATTTTTTTATTATTCTATCATTGTTTTTGATTATTTGTAATTTAAAATAACAAAATATAGTTCAAAAATACATTTCTAAAATATTAAGAATTAATACGAAGATGCATCTATAGATTAACCAAATATATAAAATATGGTGCTTTATAATTTGCGCTGAGAAACGTGTATTGTAACTTTTCATTGTGCCGTATATTATTTTCTAATAATTTTTCAATTTTATTCCCAAGAAACAACATAAGTAAATAATAAATTTAGTAATTAGATTGCTTAAAAAAAAACACGGAAGTTCAAAAGTAATATATAACTTAGTAAATTTAGTAAATTTACAAATAATGTTACAACATCGTAAATTAATATAACATAATTCAAAAATAATTTATAAATATACTATCAATTAATAAATTTGAAGTAATATATAACATAGAAGAATATATAAAAAAAATTACAAAAAAAAATAAAAAATAATAGATGATCTCAGAAACAAATGAAATATTAAAAATGAATAAATTATTTAAACTAACAAATACTATTAAATATAAACAAATAATAAATTAACATAGTATATAATACAAATAAAAATAAACAAGTATTAAATATATGCATCCAGTTCGTTTCGGATCTATTTTGAAAATTTGATCTGAAATCCGATTTGATTTAAACATTTTTCATAAAATGGAATCCAAACACATTAAAAAAATATTCGATTTTCTAAAATTTTCGTTTTTTTTTTTAACTATTTAGCAAATTTTATTTGGATCAATTTAAATTTGAATAATTCCAACAACAATCAAAAGATATAATGATAAACTTTTCTTGCCATCTGATAGTTCTTTAGCTCCAAATTTCAGGAGAAAACAAAACATGAAATTCTATTTGTGTTTTTGCAATAGAAGTTCATTTTATTTGAAAAAGCTTACATAACATAAAATGAAATCAACTAGTGAATGCATTTCATCCAGAAATATGTAATTAGTACTGGAATGTTTAGTAATATGATAAACCCTTTAACGTTATTGATTTTGCCATCTTAAAAGGGATGACGGAGCAGCTTGTTGTCCGTTTGCCAACTATTTGTGTATAATCTTAATTTTATATATATATATATATACATTTTTTCCCAGTCAACATTACTGCTTTAAACACTCGGTTCAAGTTCATTAGTTACAATATTTGAATTATGCCAGGTAAAATGCAAATCTAAAATATACACAGTAAAGTCAGACTTACCTGAAGTGCGTCCTTAATAATTTCGGATAAAATCTATCCAGATTCATCAGAGCTGAGATCAAGAAATGATATCAGCGTAATTTGCAATGCCTTCTTCACTCACAAGGCCTACGCAAAATTATTTTATCAAAACGAGCTCGGCAAGTATAACTAATTATTATCATTTGTGCATGAACAATATTTACCAGGTTTGCAGGCACCACAAGAATTGATTTTTACTCGGTCATTGTTTTACCATCTTTCATTGATTCATTCCACTCGATTCTTCTTCTTTCTGTTCTGATTGAAGTCATCCGTGGGCTCTCCTAGAGTAAGAAATCTCTTGACAGAGCATTCATTTTCATCATCACTACAAGCAATAACATTCAAATCTGGTAAATGATATCGATCCATACTTTTACCAATTGGTTTATCGTATACAAGATAAACCGCTATCTTCTTCACAATGAAATTGTTCTCAAAAACAACAACGACCTCCACTTTGTTACCGGGCTCTAAACTTGATACTACTCTCTGACTCTCCTCATCTTTAAACGAGAGTAATGCCTCTCTCTTATAGAGCTGAATGGTGGCCTTTGAATAATTGTTCACTAACACATTTTTAAGACCATCTTCTGTTATGTTATCCAGAGTTGAAGCATAGACAATACACATCATTGTCTTCAAGTTACGCCCTCCCACTTGAGGGACTTTAAAAGTTACCGAAGAACCTTCAGAATTAAAGGTTAACCAATCTGGATAACTATTATCGGGGAACAAACAACCACCGCTCCCATTGACATCCATATTCTGTAAAAGAAACTATAAGCCTTAAAACTTAATTGACAATTATATTAATATCACCTTAAGTATCATATTCATACGAGCATTACTACTATGAGACTAGTATCAGAGATAAGAACCTGTAAAATGTTCTCTCTGAGAATATTGGTTACTTGACAATCCATTCCCATTTGAATTAAAAGAGACTTCAAGGAATGTTTTGATCCCAAAACCTGCACTTGACTGCTGCTTTGAGTTAATGTAGAAGTAGGAATATCTGATACTGGTCGTGATGTAGTTGCAGTTGATTCAAACTCCTTAGAAACTGTGGCATATAAAGCATCCAAAATTATTTTAGCATCAAGAGAGAGTTGGTCTTCAGAGCTGCAATCCACCCAAAGACTTCGAAGTCTTGGAAGTTGGTTAGAAAAAGATGATAGTTGATGGGAGCTACTACTTGGTACAACCAAAGAAACAAGGGATGACATGGCAGCAGGTGTTTGAAATAGAGATGTGACATTATTTATTGGTGACATCCAAGACCAAATGATAGATGGAAACACATCACGTGAAAATCCTTGATAGCCGCACATAGAAATATATCCAATGCTTTTGGACCTTACCAATGAAAAGGGCACTCTTGTTATTGCAGTGTTATTTGCAAGCAAGGTAGTTAAAGATTCCATCTGTTCCAAATCCTGTTCAAACTTGTCAATCTTTCTACAACCAGAAAGAATGAGAGTTTTCAAAGATTTCAACTTATAGATGCTTCTTGGGAGGCTACAAAGGCTAATACAGTCTTCCAAATTTATCAGAAGAATTTTATTGAGATGTTCAATGCTAGGAGAAACCTCAGACAACATTGAGCAATCTTTGAGTACTAGCTTTTCAAGATTAGGCATGTATGAAAAGTCGGGTGTGTGTGTCAAACAATGTGAATGACTAAGATTGAGAATTTTCAGATTTCCCATCATCTGCAAGAAAATAAAATTTCCATAAAATATTAAAATCCCCGTCTATTGCTAATTTCGATTCATGCTAAATGCTTTAAAAAGTTTCATAATCACAACCACTTTACTTGAAAGATGAGGGTTTTGATTAAAGTGTAAATACATGATTGGATAATAGTGTAAAATATGTTTGTAGAACAATATGCAATTTATTATTTTTAAACTTAGCTGAACTATTGTTTCGTAACAAAAATTAATATGAACTTGAATATTTGGAAAAATTTTGATACTTGCAAAATTTGAAAGACTGATTGAAACAAAGACGAAAACAATACCTGAAAGTACCAGATAATAAAATAATTACTCAATTTGAGATGCATACAGTAAAAATAACTCATGAATGCAACAACAATAAAACATTACCTGAACCTCTTTCCACAGAATGTTAACATTGCTGTTCTCTAACTCAATAGAAACTAATTCTCCTCGATAAAGGTTTGTAGGCATGCACGTTAAAGGAAATTCATTCCATGACAGCCATCTTAGATCTCTTGAAAGATATTCAAAATCTCCATCAAGTTTCACTCCAGCAAGTTGAAGTAATCTGAGTCGTGTCATCTTCTTAAATGCTTTAGTACTAAAACATTTTGCATTAGCTCTTTGTAGCTTCAAAGCCAACCCCTTGATGGCTTTTGTTCCCTATTAATTAAAATCAATCAAAACATAATATATACTCTGCACATATACTAGTATTTAAACCAATCAATGGTTACTAGCTAGAAGCCAAGAAGCACCTAATGAATGTTTATGAATGACTTAGATTTTTTTGTTTTAGTTTCTCAAGCTTTAGATATTTAACTGAATAATTGAAAAATAAGTATATGAAGTTCTTACAGATTGATTTGATAATACATCAAGCACATCATCCTGAAACCACAACCTGCAACGCGCCTCAGGCTCCTCTGGTGATTTTTCACGAACAATTTCTCTTCCCATATCTCGCAGCAAATCATGCATTCCAAGCTTGTTCTTATCATCAACAATTACAAGACTTCGCTCAACAAGGATACTTATTCCAATTTCTGCAAAAAGTCTAGAGCCATTTAATACAGGTATAACATCATTTCGGTCCATCCCAATAAAGAAACAAGCTATGTCAAGGAATATTTCTTTCTCGGTATAATCATTTAAACCATCATAGCTTATTTTTAGCTTCTTTTGTACTTGGTCGTTAGGAATTATTTTGAGTTTCTCCAATACAGAATGCCACTCAATTAGCTCCCTATCAAACAAATACGACCCAAGGACTTCTAGAGCCAACGGCAATCCCCCAGAATACTCGACTACATTTTTGGAAATTTCAGAAAAATCTTTTGTAGGACTTGCTTGCTTGAATGCATGCCAACTAAATAGCTCAATTGATTCACTTTCATTCATATTCTTCATTTCATATACTTGGTTAACCCTATTGCCACGAAGTATATGTCTATCTCTTGTTGTGATAATTATTCTACTCCCCGAACCAAACCATTTATGACTTCCACACAAAGCATTGAGTTGGTCCAATGTATTAACATCATCAAGTACAATTAGTACTCTTCTATGGCAGAGTTTATCCTTTAATATGATTTTTCCGTTTTCAGTGCTTTGTATTTTGGTTGACATTTTTTTGAAGATATCAAGGAGAAGTTTTTCTTGTAAATTCACTTGGCTAGCATTTTCCTCCCAAACTTCTCGAATATTTGCAAGAAAGCTTCTACCATCAAAATTGCGGCCAATTTTATTGTAAATAGCTTTGGCAATGGTTGTTTTTCCAACTCCTCCCATACCCCACACCCCTAATAGGAGAACATCATTTGATTGTTGACTATATTTTTCTAACACTTGAATCATATCTTGCACTCGAGATTCAACTCCCACTGGATTATTAGCAATAAATAAGTCTGTCTTGTCAAGCAAACGTGTAACATTTTCAACAATATCCTTGATAGCCTCACTTTCATTCCTTCATAAAAGAAACCAAAGACCAGCTAGTTTTCATCAAAAGTTTGAATAAGCTTTCCAAATATTTTCTTAAAAAGTATTATTTAAAAAAGAGTCTACAGACTATGTTTATTGCATAACATTTTCAGACAGTCATATAGTAAGATTTCATGTCACTTTGTTACATTATGTTTTAAAATCTATGCATAATATTTTTTCTCAATATTTGTGTATGATTGATGTAACATAAACCACACCCATATAATGCAATTAATACTATCAATCCCAACACATTTTTTCTTATAAATTTAAAATTTTCAACCTTCACTGATATCGCTATGGCGACTCTCTTCTTGAAATCATCACCATTCTCTCTGTTCCTCGTTGTTCAACACGAAATTGTCATACACAAATAGAAGACACGCAACACATGCAGAAAGTTCTGATGCATGCAGAAGCATACAGAAAGTTTTGATGTATGAGTTATGAGTTATAGAACACCAAATACTGAGTTATGAGTCTCTTTAAAATAAACTACTCTAGAGTGCAGGGAATAAGGCCAATAAACCATCATTTTTGGGTGTTGAAATTGTAAGTATTTGGCAATTTAGAATGCCAAATATATAAAATATCAAATTGCATTCTAAATTGTCTAATGCAGCCAAAATACTCTACAAGAGGAGTCAATGTGTCACGTTAAGTTGATCTCATGTTCATGTTACAAATAACCCTAAACACAAGTTTCATACTTATTAAAAACTTAAATTTTGTAATATGTTTCTAATGACAGTAGTCCAATAAGCATAAAAGTTTAACTTTTTTTAAGTGTTGTTCAGGGTAGTTAGAGGCTAAATAATACCGGATCAATACAGCCAAAGTTCTCCGTTAATTCACGAAAACGTTGGCAAACGGGCATGTCTGTCGCGTAAAAGCCCACAAAAAAGGGCATATTTGAAGGCGCGGGACTAAAACCTTGTCCCACCACGCACAAAGTGAGAGCGGGGCTGGGCGGGCATTGAACTTTTAGACCTAAAAATTACAAAATTATATGTAAAAGCCCGGCGAAAGCCCGCAAAAAAACAGGGTGGACAAATTAAAGGGTTAAAGGATGTGGACCTAAGACTTTGATCCATCCTAAAAAAAGTGCGAACAAAACGGGTATGCCCGAGTCTGGCCCGCGTTAGTCGACGGACAACACACGAGCCTTAACAAGTTAACTTTTAAACAGCTTACGAACGAATCCACGTACTAAAACCGCATAACCCACAGTCTAAATAGAAAAAACAGTAACAATTATGGAAAAAAGTATCGAAATGGATTGTGAAACTTAAAATTACCTGTAATTTAGGACTACGAAGCCAGCAAGGCTAGCAGCCCAACGAAGCTGATTTCGAAAAAGCTGATATATTTTTGAATTCCAACTTTCAAAACCAGCTTCATTCGCGTGAATCTTATCCAAAAGATTACGAAACACTTTTCCAAATTCACCGGTTTGATGACGTACTTCAGACGGATCTACATGGTAAAACACCGGCAAAACAAATTGGCCCCTGGCCATGTGACACTGCATTATTTTCACCAATTCGTCGAGACACCATTTGGATCCAGCGTAATTAACTGAGAAAACAACAACAGAAATTTGAGAACCCTCAATTGCTCGAATCAGCGATGATGAAATGTAGTTTCCCCTTGGAAGCCGGTGATCGTCTATAAAGACATCGATTCCGGCGTTTCGAAGAGAAGCGTAGAGATGTGAAGTGAAGGAAGAACGAGTGTCTTCGCCTCTGAAGCTTAGGAAGACTTTGTGGTACATTGTTGGATAGTGGGGTTGTGGGATGCCCGGTAAGAAGGAAGCCATAGACATGGAAAATTATTAGGAAGACTGTGAAGTGAAGTGAAGAGTAGAGAAGTGTGTAGATTCAACAAAGAAGTAAATCAAGGAAGCAGGAGATGGAGTCAACTTAAACTCTTTAGTTTATATTTCAGTCTCTACATTGGTGCTCCACTTGTTGAAAATATAACACTTTTTATCTTGATTGGATAAAAGATCATCTCAATTAGTACTTTTTATCTTGATTGGAGAAAAGAGCATCTCAATTAGTACTTTTTATCTTGATTGGAGAAAAGAGAAAATATCATCTCAATTAGTACTTTTTATCTTGATTGGAGAAAAGATCATCACCACTTGGTTTAGTCAAATGTGCAGATTCTTGATTTAGAAATATATTTGGAAATTGGATTGATGGAATGGTATCAAATCAAATGGGGGACAAGTTTATATTTTATTGTTTACATTAATTAAAAATAGACAGTATTGAGTGGAACGAGATAAAGTACCTTTCATATTATTTTGTTATTTTTTTTACTTTGGATTTGGGTAATGCTAAGACATGATACACCTACGGCTCAAAATCCCCTCCAAGCCCTTTAAGATACTCCAACTTGTAGGAGATACCATCCCAACTGATTGTAAACATGGTGGTCATATAGCTTCGCATATCTGCACCTGCTTGGTGAGGGTGGTTGGAGGTTCATGATCAGGGTTAGAAGATTGAAAAGGACCACTAGATGGGGGGCTGTTCAAAAAATTCAAAGAATCGACCGGATCACATAATCAAATCGAACCGTTGTTAAATAACCGAACCATATTTCGTTCAACGGTTCAATGACCAAACTGAACCATACTAAATCATAGTTAATTGATCCTAACCTGAACCGCAATTTACTAATCATATTTATGATATGGTATTACTTGTCTTAAGTTAACTTTGGTTCAAATTTTTTATCATAAAATTTATTTTAAATAAAAAAAGTAATTTTTAAAAAAAATAATCTTTAACCATTGATAATTTTGTAAATGTTATGACTTACAAATAACATTTAATTTGTTTGATTTTTAATTTTGTGATTTTAATAAAACAAATTATGTAAAAAATATTTATAAACAATAGTAATGATTTTGTATTAAAAATGTCTTTTTAGAGAACATAACGATTCTGCTTACCATGACAAACAATTCTTCCAAAAATTTCTTTACTAGCGGTTTGGTACGGTTCATAATTTATAATTGGGGTACCAAACGAATTATTTGGTTCAGTTCGGTTTTGAACAAATCCAAATGGTTCGCTTTGATTCTTATAAAATTTTAATATAGTTTGATTCGGTACAATTCAGTTTTTTTAATAAACCATACCATGAACAATCCTACCCGCAGATGAACTACCAGCAGATGAAGAGGGGCAATAGGTGGTGGTATCAAATCACTCTTGTGAATGTAGGTTCGCTTTTCCTCATTTCAAAACACTCATATTTTTCCAAAATACCTTTGTCAATCAAATTTCAACTTCATTCATTTTTACTTTTTGATTCTTATATCAAATCAACATTGTAAGATGCAATAAGCTTGCTAATTTTCTGACCATAAGGTATCCTACTATTTTCCATTTAGACATGAACAATAAGGCTACTGCCTAGGGCCTCATTTTTTATTTTTTTATTACAAGATTTTCATTAATTAATTTTTTTAAAATAAATTTTTAAATTATATTATATAACATATATTTAGAATTTATAATATTATAATATGTATTATTTGATTTGTTAATTTTAAAATTATATGTATAAATGATAAGTTTTGACTTATTTAACATAATAGAAATGTGATACCTGAAATTTCATTTTATTTTAATAATTTAGCATTATTTTTAAATTATAATTTTTTTAATTAATGAGAAGAGTGTTTAAATGAGTTAATTTTATTATCAATTGAAATAAAATACTAAATGAAATTGATTATAATAATTTAATGATTTTACATCATAAAATAACTAAAATATAATAATTAAAAAAAACATTTTTGTTATACTAAAAATGTTTATAATAATTTAAAAAAAATCATTTTTGTTATACTAAAAATGTTTAGTTTTAAATTTCGCCTCAGGCCTCGAGACGTGTTGGGCCGGCCCTGCATGTTAGTCTTCACAATATAAGCCATGTTCAAGGAAAATATTGTGTTTTAGGGCAAACATGACTTGTGGCTCAAACTCAATTATTTAAAAGAGATTTGAGTCGGTACTTGTCAAAAAGTACATATTGTGTGATACCCTTATGTTAGCTGGGTGAGAATATGGAGTAAAGAAACTATTCAGGGGGTGAATAGACGCTTATTAAAAATTCAACCAATTTTCTAAAAATGGAATGTCATAAGGTTTTTCAAAATTGTGCGCATAAGTCTTAAATAAAAAATAGAGAGTTATGTTTTTGTTTGAAATTCAACCACGTTAATAAATACACAATTCACAAAACTCATAGATTGTTCAAAGACAATGATTAATTGAATAATAGTAAATTACACGAGAAGTGTCATGTACAATTGATTCAATTAACATCAGATTCTAATATCATTATTTTTTCATATTTTAATCACCACTAAAGCTCAATCAAGAACCAATTTTAACAAAATCTAACCTTACGTAATAAATTACTATCAACTGAATAAACAATAAGCTACACTAAAAGTTGATAACCCGGACATGCAATACCCTACGAAAATTAAATGGAAGAGTGTGTATGTGTGTGTGAGTCAATGAGTGTGTGTGAGTCACGAAATTGTCATACACAAATAGAAGATACGCAACACATGCAGAAAGTTTTGATGCATCGCAGAAGCATGCAGAAAGTTTTGATGTATGAGTCACGAGTTATAGAACGCCAAATACTAGTTATGAGTCTCTTTAAAATAAACAACTCTAGAGTGCAGGGAATAATGCCAATAAACCATCATTTTTGGGTGTTGAAATTGTAAGTATTTGGCAATTTAGAACGCCAAATATATAAAATATCAAATTGCATTCTAAATTGTCTAATGCAGCCAAAATACTCTACAACAGGTGTCAATGTGTCACGTTAAGTTGATCTCATGTTCATGTTACAAATAACCCTAAACACAAGTTTCATACTTATTAAAAACTTAAATTTTTTGTAATATGTTTCTAATGACAGTAGTCCAATAAACATAAAAGTTTAACTTTTTTAAGTTTTGCTCAGGGTAGTTAGGGGCTCAATAATACAGAATCAATACAGTTAAAGTTCTCCATTAACTCACGAAAACGTTGGCAAACGGGCATGTCCGTCCCGTAAAAACCCGCAAAAAAGGGCATATTTGAAGGCGCGGGACTAAAACCTTGTCCCACCACGCACAAAGTGAGAGTGGGGCTGGGCGAGCATGCGGGCATTGAACTTTTATACTTAAAAATTACAAAATTATATGTAAAAGTTCGGCGAAAGCCCGCAAAAAAAGTGCGAACAAAACGGGTATGCCAGAGTCTGACCCGCGTTAGTCCACGAACAACAGCCGAGCCTTATCAAGTTAACTTTTAAACAGTTTATGAACGGATCCACATATTAAAACCGCATAACCTACCGTCTAAATAGAAAAAACAGTAACAATTATGGAAAAAAGTATCGAAATGAATTGTGAAACTTAAAATTACCTGTAATTTAGGACTACGAAGCCAGCAAGGCTAGCAGCCTGACGAAGCTGATTTCGAAAAAGCTGATGTTTCAAAAGCGCGGATCCACTATCTATTCTTGAATTCCAACTTTCAAAACCACCTTCATTCACGTCGATTGAAATCTTATCCAAAAACTTACTAAACCCTTTTCCAAATTCACCGGTTTGATGACGTACTTCAGACGGATCTACACCGTAAAACACCGGCAAAACAAATTGGCCCGTGGTTCTGTGACAGTCCATTATTTTCACCAATTCTTCCATACACCATTGGGATCCAGCGTAATTAACTGAGAAAACAATAACAGAAATTTGAGAACCATCAATTGCTTGAATCAGCGATGATGAAACGTTGTTTCCCCTTGGAAGCCGTTGATCGTCTTTAAAGACATCGATTCCGGCGTTTCGAAGAGAAGCGTAGAGATGTGAAGTGAAGGAAAAACGAGTGTCTTCGCCTCTGAAGCTTAGGAAGACTTCGTGAAAAAAATAGCGGCGTTGTGGGATGCCCGGGAAGAAGGAAGACATAGACATGGAAAATTATTAGGAAGACTGTGAAGAGTAGAGAAGTGTGTGGATTCAGCAAAGAAAATATAACACTTTTATCTTGATCGGAGAAAAGATCATCTCCCCTTGGTTTAGTAAAATGTGCATATTCATAATTTAGAAATATATTTGGAAACTGGATTCATGGAATGGTATCAAATCAAATGGGACAAATTTATATTTTATTGTTTAGATTAATTAAAAATAGACAGTATTGAGTGGAATGAGATAAAGTACATTTCATATTATTTCATTACTTATTTTTACTTTGGATTTGGGTAATGCTAAGACATGATACATCTACGGCTCAAAATACCTCCAAGCCCTTTAAGATACTCCAACTTGTAGGAGAGACCATCCAACTGATTGTAAAAAATTCAAAGGATAGACCGAATCATAGAATTAAATCGAATTCTTGTTAAATAATCGAATCATTTTTTTAATTAATGAACCGAGTCACATTTTGTTCAAGGGTTCGATAACCGAACTCAACCATGCTAAATTATAATTAATTGAACTTAAACCGATCCGTAATTTACTAATCATATTTATATTTATGATATGGTATTACTTAGCTTACGTTAACTTTGTTCAAATTTGTTATCACAAAATTTATTTTAGATACAAAAAATTAATCTTTAACAATTGATAATTTCGTAAATGTTATGACTTACGGATAACATTTAATTTGTTTGATTTTTAATTTTGTGATTTCAACGAAACAAATTATGTAAAAAATATTCATAAACAATAGTAATAACTTTGTGTTAAAAAAGTCTTTTAGAAAATGTAACAATTCTGTTTACTATGACAAACGGTTCTTCCAAAAATTTCTTTACTAGGGGTTTGGTATAGCTCATAATTTATAACTGGTGTACCAAATCAATTGTTTGGTTCAGTTCGGTTTTGAATAAATTCAAATGGTTCGGTTTGATTCTTATAAAATTTTAATATGATTTGGTTCGGTACAATTCAGTTTTTTTTAATAAATCATACCATGAATAACCCTACCAGCAGATGAAGAGGGGCAATAGGTGGTGCCCTTATGTTAGTTGGGTGAGAATATGGAGTAAAGAAACTATCTAGAGGGGGTGAATAGACGCTTATTAAAAATTCAACCGATTTTCCAAAAATGGAATGTCATAAGGTTTTTCAAAATTGTGCGCAGAAGCCTTAAATAAAAAATAGAGAGTTATGCTTTTGTTTGGAGTTCAACAAAGTTAATAAATACACAATTCACAAAACTCATAGATTGTTCAAAGACAATGATTAATTGAATAATTGTAAATTACACGAGAAGTGTCATGTACAATTGATTCAATTAACATCAGATTCTAATAGCATTATTTTTTCATATTTTAATCACCACTAAAGCTCAATTAGGAACCAATTCTAACAAAATTCAACCATACATAATAAATCACTACCAACTAAATAAACAATAAGCTACACTAAGAGTTGATAACCCAGACATGCAATACCCTACGAAAATTAAATGGAAGAGTGTGTATGTGTGTGTATGTGTGTGTGTGAGTGTGTGTGTGTGTGTGTGTGTGTGTGTGTGAGAGAGAGAGAGGGAGAGAAGAGAGAGAGAGAGAGAGAGAGAGAGAGAGAGAGAGAGAGAGAGAGAGAGAGAGAGAGAGAGAGAGTACATGGATGTATAGATGTTCAACATTTGTCCTCATTTTTCCTACTCCACTTTTCAATGATTTTCTATGGGAACCTGTGTTGTTCCTTTTTATTATGACAAATGTTGCAAGAGTTCGTACAATCACTAATCCATAATAATGCTAAAAAAAATAAATCTCCTATTTGTATATTGACTTGTATACAACATAATATCAAACTCTTCAGTATAATGTTTACTTGATTCACCATTCTTGAATCTTCCAGTTTCACTAACCTACTCACGGTCTTCGTATGTGGCAATCACCCCTTGATCCCACTGATTTCTTGAGCGATGAACTGTCTACAGATTTAAGAAGAACTCCACCTTGTTTGTAGTCTTCCACAGAGTCACTACCATTGTCACCTGAAGAGAAAAACCTTCTTCTTTTTATTGGAATTTGTCAACACCAATGGAAACAACCTCAATCTTGCAAGCTTCCTGAAAAACTTTAAGAAACCTTTAAGAAAAATTAATTTCAAGACATTGTTTCCCTCAATCAATAACAAAGATACCATTATCAAGATCTAAAATCAAAATAAGAGGTTGATGATGAAAGAGTGTTTGTTGCAATAGTTTTTTAAATTTCAGAAAGAAGGTGTGTTGAAATTTCACAAAATCACAATGTATATTATGAAATTATGTAAAGTTGTTATTGAAAACAAGATGAAAAAATGAATTTATATGTGCTTGAGATTAAGCACAAAAATGGATGGAAAAATTTAGTTAGATTCGAGTTAAGAACATTTCATGATTTGAGTCAAATGAGCAAGTGAAGTGGAATAAGAAAACATAAATAATTTCATGATTCGAATCACATGAGAGATGGGTCAAATTATTTATGTTTTCTTATTCCACTTCACTTGCTCATTTGAAAAATTAATTTCAATACATTGTTTCCCTCAATCAATAACAAAGATACCATTATCAAGATCTAAAATCAAAATAAGAGGTTAAAGATGAAAGAGTGTTTGTTGCAATAGTTTTTTAAATTTCAGAAAGAAAGTGTGTTGAAATTTCACAAAAGCATGATTCGAATCAAGTACAAAGTCTGATTCGAGTCAACTTGGACAGAGCCAAATAGAGGAATGTGAAAGAAAAAAAATGCCTAATTTGAGCCAAGTGTTGTTCGCCGTGAAAATTGGTGAACAACGGCTGGTCTTCCAAATCGAAAAGGATTTGTTTTACTCGCAGGATCGATCACACAAATCCTATGACATGTGCTAATTGATCTTAAACAAAGTTTAAAAAAACAATGAACACTTCGACAGAGTTCATGATAAAAATAGCTTATTTAAAAAATGTAAATGGAATTGAATACAAGAGATTCACTACAAGAAAACATGGAATTAGCTAGGGGAGTGGCTTAGGGGAAAACCCCATCACTAAAATAAATACATTTGCTTGGGGATAAACCCCTCACAAAACACATAATAGGGAAAAAAATAAAAACAGTTAGCTAGGGGATACCCCTCGCAAACAAGGGGGAAATTTTTTTTTGAAATTTGAAATATGCTTTTACTAGGGTTCAGCGCAGAATCTGGTGGGAAGGTTGAAAATTTGCGAGGGGGATCCTCTCACCACGTCACGGTTCACAATTTGCGATGGGCATCCCCTCTCCATTTGTCCTACTTTAGTCAAATTCCTCTGAAAAGGCATTTATTCCTCTGCCATATTGTCTGCCACACGCAAATAGTGGCTAGGGGCATCCCCTCGCAAATGGCCTATTGATTTCATGCGTGGATGATCCCCTCGCAAATGACGCCACGTCATTGTGACCGTTGTGGCTTGCGTGGAGCTGCCCCTCGCAAAAGAGACTATTAAATGCCCAAATTATTTTCAATTGTATCAGCCACATTCAAGGCAAAACTTTTCACTTTCTTCTCTTTCTTCTCCATTTCATCTTCTACGCGTTTTTCTTCCCTATTCTTCTTATTCTCCTTCCATATTCCACCATTTTTGTCCCAACTCATAAAAGTAAGTTATTTTATTTATTTATATTATTTTCGTATTTAGAATTTATTTTATTGTTTTGATTTGTTAATGATTTTTTTTTATTTGTTGTGTTGCATGTACTGTGGATAATATATAAAGCTATCAAATTTTTGTCAAGAGGAGCTACGATTTTGGAAGAGCATCAACAAAAAGTACACACTTCTGTTTTTTCTTTAGATTTTAGATAAATTTATGTTGATGTTGGTGGCTGTTGATGTATAAGAATTTATGTATATTTTGTTAAAAAATATAAGACATATTTTACATTATAAAAAAATTTATGTATATTTTGTTAAAAAATATAAGACAAAAATTTATGTATATTTTGTAAAGAAAATATAAGAAAAATGATAATAGTATATTTTTATTCTGTTTTACATTATAAAGAAAATATATTTTGTTATAAAACAGGTTTTAATATTTATAAACCAGATTTTAATATATTATTATTAAAATATTAGTATTATATATTATTTAATTAAAACAGTATATATATTTAATTATAAAATAGATTTTAATATTTATATTACAAAATAGATTTTAATTAAAATATTAATATTATATTTATATTATAAAACAGATTTATTAAAATAGAATATTAAAATATATTTATATTAGAAAACAGATTTATATTTATATTAGAAAACAGATTTATATTTATATATTATATTAGAAAACAATATATATATTATATTATAAAACATATTTATATTTATATATTATATTAGAAAACAGTATATATATTATATTATAAAACAGATTTATATTATATTTATATTAGAAAACAGTATATATTATAAAACAGATTTATATTCATATTAGAAAACAGATTTTACTTAAGTTTATTAAAATAGTATATTAAAATATACTTAAGTTTATTAGAAAACATATTTTATTATAAACAGAATATTTATTTATTTAAATTTATTATAAACAGAATATTTATTAAAACATATTATATATTATTTTTATAAACATATTATTTATTTAAACATATTATATATTAATTATTTAAAACATATATTATAAACATATTATTTATTAAAACATAATATTTATTAAAACATATATTATAAACATATTATTTATTTAAATTTTTTATAAACAGATTTTATTATAAACAGAATATTTATTTATTATAAACAGATTTTATTAAAACATATTATATATTATTTTTAAAAATAGAATATTTATAAATTTAAATTTGAAAACATATTATATATTATTTTTATAAAAGAATAGATTATATATATTAATATACACTTTTATTTAAAAAGTATGAGTTAAATCTTAAAAATATATAATTTGTAATATATTTAAGTAACAT